ACACATCTTCTAAGCCGCTTCTCCTTCTAGGTCGCAGGGGGAGCTGGAGCCTATCCCAGCAGTCATTGGGTGGAAGGCAGTATACACCCTGGACAGGTCACCAGTCCATTGCAGGGCCAATGAAGAACATATTAAAATAAAAATCTAGAACTTAATAAGGAAAATTTCTCTTATTAAGTAAGATCCAAACTTTGTAGTTGTTTTACAGTGGTGGATTGTAACTAATTATATGTACTTTGTTACTGTACCTAAGTACTTTTTTCAAGTTTTTCATTTTTTGATACTTTTACATCCACACGACTACATTTCAAGTAAAAATCCTTCCTTTTCTTCACTGCTTTCTGCAAGATACTGTGAAGTAAAAACAAGTTTCCACAATATCCTGAAGAATATGGTTCACTATAACAAATAAATTAAGACAGTCATAGTATACCTTTCACTAAACACCTCTTCTAAATACAGCATGTAATACAGACATGTAGACGCTTTAGATGCAGTCTCCCAGAAAACGCTACGAGAAGAAGTTTGGCTGGATTGATAGACTGGATCTGTATAGCCTGCATTTTTCCAGAGTTCAGAATATTCCAGTGCGTGATATTTTATAAAAATGAAAAAAAGGCTACTGAAATTGCCAAAGCTCTTAAATAATTAACTCATATATATATATATATATATATATATATATATATATATATATATATATATATATCAAGCTCAAGTCAGTTTCTTACACGCCAGCTTTTCATTTGAATTTTCCATTCCACCTTAAATGTAGAACAAATTTCAAAAGTTGGCAAACACAAAGCTAATGCATCTATTTATCTCAATAAATGGAAATGTAATCAGCCATTGGAGCTGCTGATCATGTATCACTGGCTGATCTAACGCCTAAGTCCCGAACCACACGCTTCTGTACTTTACCTACTACACTAATGAGTGCACTTCTAATAGTATATGTGCTATTTTTGCGTACTATTTAGTGTGTTAGTAGGTTTGAAAATATTAAGGCAGCAGGACATCTCAGCTGTTTAGATTCTAGCTTTCATTTGTCATCACTACAACCACAAATCAAATGAAATCAAGTCAGTACACTCAAATACAGTGGTTAATGTGCTTTTGCTTAAAAATGTGTTTTACTGCCCTTGCTGGGTCGGTTATGGCTTTGTTATCTCATTACAAACAGAAGCAGCACTGCAGAATGAACTTGAGGTTGCCATCCAAAATGGTGGCAGCGCAATTATGACATCATTGGAATACTATCAATTTTCGTTTGAAACTGTAACTAAACCCAGGCACTTCCGAGAGGCTTTCAAAACAATAATAAAAAAATTTCTAATATTATGCTGGGTGTATTTAAATCAGGATTTATGTATTATAATTCATTTATTTTGTCAGGTTAACATAGCAAGTGCTTGAATTTTTGCACGTTCTTCATCAAATGATTTAAATATAAATATATCTAAATTGACATGTAGAGCAGTTCAGAATAGCCCTGTTTTATTAATTGAAAGTATACTACAACTGATCTATAGCACAGTTGCAGTTCTGCAGGGCCAGTGTCTAGCACAGTTTGGTGCTAGACAATCAACCTATTCAGACACACCTGTTTAAAAACATCCGTTAATTGTCATGTTTAACAGGTGTGTTTGAGTAGGAGAACTACCAAACTTTGCTGCACACTGACCCTTTAGGACCAAAGTTGTGCACCTCAATCTATAGTATCAAACACTGTCTACAAGCACAGCTACGAACTCAGTACTTCACTGTGAAAACTGATAAGTTAAGTCAACTAAAATGGTTTGAGGAAACCGATTACCTTAAATGGTTTAAGTTAAAAAACTAAAATCATTTGACCATAAATAATTCTCTAAACTAAGTATGAACATAACATATGTTTATTGTTGTGTACATTTAAATAAATTGAGTAAATTGTACTAACTCCATTTGTTTTGTTCACATTAAAATGATTGAGTATTTGGGACTTATGGTAAAGCTGTACTAAGTAAGTAACTGTAAATTAAATTCACTGCTTGGTTAAACTAGCCTATCATTGTAAAAAATTAATGTTGTATTGCAGAAAGATGATAATAATAGACATTTATAACAATGTCTTATCCAACTTAATATTACTCTGAACCATCTTGCCAAATGCTGACAGTTTGATCGCAGCTCCCTCTACACTCATTTCTCATCAGGACTGATTGACAGTCTGAACTAAATTGCAAAAAGTGTATTCAACTCAAAGATCCCGTTTAAATGTCTGAAATCATCAAAATAAAGTTATGAGAAAAGCACGAAAAGTCCAAATCATTTAAATGTAAACATTTATGCAGTATCACTTAAATTTACTGGTACAGAATACTCCAACAGCTCAACCACTGAATCAACTGATGTTTTGGCTAAAAACATTAGAACATTTTCTGCTTGTGCTAAGGCGACCAGCTAGTCTTGAAAGGCATCAAGACTATTTAATGTGCTTGGCAATTATCACTTTTAATTTAAGTAATTCTATAATAAATGGAGTAAACAGTCTGTCATTCATGACAAGTGTGGTAGAAGAGGAAAACAAGCCAGCCATACTACATTTTCAATCTTTAAAAATGACCCATTATTGGCCCGTTTGTATTTCCGTGTAAAGTCAAGTTAAATAAAAATAGTGACAACAATACATCTCAATAAAATATGCTGAAAAAAAAACAATCTTACTCAAAATGACTGAGTTACTATCTCAACAATTTATTTTTGAGTTAGTTTGAATTTTTCACATCAAGTTACTCCAACTTTCTGTAGTATTTAAGTTGTGTTATCTTAATTATTTTATTAAGATGTGCAGTAAGGTTTTACACTGTTCTCAGATTTTAGTCTCAGATCATTTTACTTCCATTTCAGCATATTACTAAAAATGATTTATTTCCTCTTACATGTAGTTTGTTCTTGTCAAACAAGAAAAAAGGAAACTCAGCTATTCTATTCCCGCCTATATAACCAATTCCTTTAGTTTTAATTGATCACGTTTAAGGAAAACTGAACCTAACTTTGGTACTTTTGATGGTCTAGTGTTTTTGTCATATCCTGTCTCATTTATCATTGTTCCGATCCAGAACTAGTATCATGCTGGGTACTGAGAAGAAGAAATCAAGGATTTTTTGTTAATAAGTCCATGACATCTCAGGGAACATTCAAGTTAGAAGGCATTATTGAACATAAATAACTGACTTAGGTAATTCACATTTAATTTAATTGTGTTTGCTGGGAATGAATGAAAAGTGCAGGTATTGCAAGTTGACTTTTATCTGGGACCAGCAGTCCCCAGTCTCTTCTCTCAACACTATACCTTGTAAAGGAAAGGAGTGCTTTAAGTTACAGTCTCCAAACCATGGCCCTAGTTGTAATATGATATATATTAAGCCAAAGTTCATAAATATCAGTGGCTGGCAACTAATATATGCAAACAAAAACCCAATCAAACAAAAAAATTACATTTTGAGTCAAACAGGTCTTTATAATATTAAGAGGAGAAGTTCTTTTTTAAATTGCATAGTGGCGACCATGCAAATAACAATGTGAGATTTTGCAGAACCTGCCACCAAAATATCAAAAACCTAACTAAAACATACCTTTGGCTGCTATGTTGTACCTCCACCTAGTGGTGAAACTGATTCACAAAAATTGACATCTTGGGTCAAACTCATATTTTAAGGTCTTTAAAAAGTTAAAGGGGAATTCTCTTGACTCTACAAAATTTCACTCAATTGTAGAGATGTAAACCAAGCATGAACAAACCTCAATTCAAAAAAGAGGGAAAGTATGTGAAATGTGAATGAGAACAGAAAACAGTGATTTTTACATCCATATTGACCTGTACATAATTGAAAACAGTACAAACACAAGATATTTAATGTCTTACCTTACCCTACATTTCAAAAAACAGTTAATTTAAGACTAGGAATGTTGTGAAATGCTCAGCCCTCAGATGGCACTGCGTTACAGCATGCTTCTGAGTGGACATCACCACATGGGATCAGGCACACTTTGACTAAACATTGTCAGTAAACACTGTTTGCCACTGAATCCACAAATGCAACTTAAGACTGTACTATGCAGACCGGAAGCCATCAGTATAAAGTTTAAAAGTCGTGGTATGGGAATGTATTAGTGCTAAAGGCATGGGTAACCATTAAGGCACCATTAAAACTGAAAAACATACACAATTTGAAGCAACATACATAGCTTTCTACGCAATGATTTTTCAAGGACGTCAATGCTTATTTCAACATCACAGCACCAAGCTACATTCTGCATGTGTTACAACAGCATGACTGCATAATCAAGGAGTCCATTAAAAATATGTGGTGTATCATGAAGTGTAAAATACAACAATGAAGGCCCTGTATGGTTAGGCTGAAGCTTGAAGACTTGTATAATGGAAGAATGACAAATTTTTGACAAAACGTTGATTTCAAAACTGGAAAAACTGATGTTTTCAGCCTGCAAACAATTATTTATTGTTAGAAGGAAAGGTGATGTAACACAGTGGTAAACTGTGCTCCTGTCTCAACTTTTTTGGAACATCAGTTTTTAATTAGTGTGCAGTTACAAAACAAACAAAACAAAAGTTCACAAAGTAAAACTTCAATTTTAAAATATATATTTAAATATAATAATAAATGATGTGTAAATATTCTGTTTTCAGTGTAATACAAGTCAAATAGAATTTACTAATCGCTGATTTCATATTATATTAGCATTTACACGTACCGTACCAACTATTTTGGAATTTAAAAACATAAGCTTTTGGACAAAACTTCTCAATCTCTCAGGTGTCACGGCTGTGTACTCTGATTCCAGTTTTCACTTACAGTATGAAGAGGAGAGTACTTAGCTTGGTATTTAGCATGTTTATTTAATTGAATTTAATTACTTTATTTTATTTACCTTTCTTATTTTTATAGTCAAAAAATGCAGATGAAGTTTTGCCATGACCAAAATATAAGACAAACTGTAATTTAATCAGTACTATATAAAATGCTTTATTTGCTGAATTGAAAAGTTTCAGATTTTACAGCATGTGTTATGGACACTGTCCTCTGCTCATTTGTCAAATAGGAAATACACATCTGATAACACTTAAAGATGTGATATAAATAAAAAAATAAAGATTACATTGTATGTCATTGTTGACAAAGATGTCTCTATATTAACCTCAAAGTAAAAGCCTGAGCCATGCTAATGGTATAACCATTGTAACATTGAACATAAGAGTTTTTGACATAAAAAGAAAGAAAGAAAGAACAAAAAAGAGTTTCTGTTCTTACACTTCACAAATGGATAATTACTTTTTAAAATCTAAATATACACAAGTTCAAATTGCAACTTTAAACATACTCTTTACTGTCTATTCCCATAAACAAGTTTCAGTGTATGTCTGAGAAAAAAAAATGTATATGAGAAATAAAATTGGTAAATGGATCTGTGGTTCTGACCCTGGTCTTGATCTGAAAGTGTTAACAGGGCCTTCCAAAGTTCTTCTCTGAAAAGGCCTATTTGCACATTGAAAAAAAACATTCAGATAATTGATTCAGTAGAATCTTTCAGGCTTTTTTTCTAAAGCTACTGCTTTACACTCATACTAGATTGATCCAGAATCTTATTGGTGTTCCTAAACTTAAGAGATTCAAAGATTGATCAGCCTAGTCATGGAACCAAGCTTAAAGCAGTAAAACATTGGAAAACAATGACAGTTCGGTCTGGAATGTGTTAACTGTACTTGAGATTTCATTTACAGTCCTAAGAACAGTACAAACCAATGTAATCCCATTATTTGGTTTGATCTTATGCTTCAGTTGATTAAAATTTGCATGCAAATTGGTTGTATTTGGTTGTATTCTCTACTGATTACCAATATGTATTTATTTTTGGTATCAGATTCAGATTTGCAGGGGAGTTACTCCTCATGTGTGAAGGCAACAAACAGAACGGAGAGCAATCACATCGATTACGCCAAGGCACGCATCACAAAATGAGTGGGAAATAAAACAAGGATTTTGTTTTAACAATGAATTCTTATATGATTTCTGATTAGCAGAAAATAATATCAATAACAAACAATATTCTAAACTCAAGCTAAACCTTAAATTAGGCCTGGAAATAACTATAATTAACAAAAGATTCCAAAGTACTTTCTTAACATCTCAACTGAAACTTGACAGTGGGTCTGCAGGTAAAATGACAGCCCAAAGTGAATAAATGAAAAGCAAAATCAACTGATATTATGTGTGTGTGACTTATGCATAACGACCTTGTATAGGTGTTTCAGCATAAGCAAATAAAAATACATTCAACAAAGCAAATGTAATAACAGTAACAACAAAAACCAGAACAATAATGACAACAAAACAAGCATTATATGTTTAATCTACATTCAATAAGATACTATTATCAAAAGGCAAATATTAAGTATATTGCAACATTCTCCACTTCCTTTCATACAACATCTCTGTCACTGGCCTTTTGATTGGCAGATCGTTTGCCTAGGTCAGTGGCAGTAGGATCAGGCCACATTGGCATGTTACCACAAAATAGGCATCTCTAGAAGAGGGAGAAAACTTGTTGGGTATAAGAAAAAAATAGCACAAAGAGATACAGTTACCCTGTTTGGAATATATGGATTCAAATGCATGACTAATAAAGTAGTATAAAACTAAAAAAAAGTTTTCCAGTGCATAGATATGCAAATATTGATCTCAAGGCCTCACCCAATAAGTCTGGTATAGAATGACCTGAAATGGGTGAACTCCTGAGCTGAATATTTGCACAAACTCACAACACTAAAATACAATTACACCATTATCAAACAAGCTAAAGAAATAGCCTAAAAATGCATCGCTTCTATAATACACTTTTGTAATTCATAAAAATTTATGCTTTGGGTGTTGGTATCTGCTTCCCCAAAGATTTTGCTCCAAAATTCTCTCTTCTCTCTCTATCTGGCAATTTGATGCCATAGTAAGTTGTGGTTTCCCTGAAGCAAGACTGGACAAATCCAGTTTAAAAAGAAATAAAATATGCACCCATCGGTCAAAAAAAAACTTTTATTTTATGATTAACTTGACCAGGAAATGGCAGCTAATGCCAACCAGAATAAAGAAAAAGCCTATATTTAGAGTCATACTGTAAGTCACTATTTGGCAGCATTTGAATAGGATTGTGCTCAACCTTGATTGATGGAGTGACTTCCAATGCTCAGATCATGTTACTGTGTGAACACAAAAAGTAGGACCTCTTAGGATGGTTTGATATCAAAGCTGATGAGCTGGATTGTGTTTCTCCTCCTATCCATAAAGTGCCATAAGAGATGCCCATTTCTATAACTCAGAGAGTAAGAATCCAAGCCTGTGCTCGGCAGAAAAACTGAAGAAATGGACTGAAAATAGTTTAATTAAATCAAGCTTTAAAGGATGAGTTCTGGGTTTGTTCAGGTAAGGCTGTGAAGTGCAGGTGTTTCAGGGTGGCTCCCCAATGTCTTATGATCTCTCTATGAAAAAAGATTTTGAAGTTAAGGGCTAAATAGTTTTCTCAATTACATACATGCACACAAACTCCAATCAGTTCAATAGTTTCTCTCATATTATTCACAAGCCTTGGCTTGCAATTCAGTTATTTAGTATTTAGTAATAGTGCAATTTTTAAACATTAATATAAATAACTAAATACCTAAAAGGGTTAAGTTTGTTTTTCAGTTTTTTTACATGTGCTGTGTGCATCTAAATATACGCACACACACATAAACACAGTACATGCTTAGCACAATATCAAACACACTAAGTGTTGGCACTCCAAGTGATAACTATTTTCCTCTAGCTCCTCTAGCTAAATAACTAAGGAACTAAGGCTTTCTTAGACACCAGTTCTACTAGAAAAATACCTTCACTTTCTTGGTTTCACAAATATTGTAGATATTCCGTCAGCGGAATGCATCAGGGTTGCTGCTTTTGTTTCTGGTTCGCTTTCAGAAATAATAACTGACAAGTCTGTTGAAAAATATAGAAGGTCGTAAGAGTCTGTAAATACTGACCAAAAGCAAATAGAAGGGAAACCAGTAGAAATACCTTGTGAATATGATTTGAGAAACAAACTGTTGATTTAGCAAATCATGTTAGCAAAAGACAATTAAAAAATAGATAAACTCTATAAGGAAAATCTCGTCACTCTATAGCATTTCAATATTCCAGATTCTAAATCCTTAGTAAAAGTTTACTAGAAGGCAATTGACGCAGCATCATGGTCACAAAAAAATAAAAATAATATATTTTCTAGTTTGTTTATACATTTTAGAGTATCAAGAGGTGTAAATATGCAAAGTAAATATTAGACATGAACAGTTTTAGGTTCTTCTCTCACTTTCACACACAAACATCTTCCGATCAATGGAGGAAAAAAGAGGACTACTGTTAAAGGATATATTTCATGATTTTATGGGGATATTGTGCATCTGCCCCCAAATTCCTCTTCTTTCACTTACCCTGCAAGTTCAAAAGGAAGGAAGCAAGGCCACTGATGTTAATGTATTACCACACTAACCAGCAATGACGCTAGTCTACACTAGCATTCATGCTAATTAGCACAACCAGAAGCCTATGCAGGCTGTGCAGACAAAGACAAACTAACGCTAGCCAAAGGTCAGACCTGCTGTGCTTTGTGTTTCTCCTTGTTACGGGTGTTCTGGCTATCTGCGCTATTGATTTGGGGTAACACTGGCAGCAGATCTCCCTGGATCAGTGGAAGAGGGGGGCCCAGGCCTGTTCCATATGGAGACTGTGTGTGGTGGGGCATCGATGAAGGGTGAAAGTAGCGCCCGATGACCTCACTGTAGGCAGGCGGAGCGCACTCCAAGTTGGCAGTGCTGATGCCAGTGTTTACACTTGGGGGGCAGAATGAAGTATCAATAAGGAGACTGTCAAAAATAGTGCGGTTGGGAGGGGCACGAACTGACTCTCTGTTCAGCTCTAGCTGCTGCTCTGGGTCTCGGAGCTGGAGGGTGCAGGGGCCCTGGTACGGAGGGGGCTCTTCCCCATCTGAGAGAGGGATATTTGGGGGAAGATCGATGATTGTGTGAGACAGGTAAGGGTAGGTGGGCTGGAACCTGGTCAGATGCTCGTGTTGCATGTACAGAGGGACTCGATCTGGTGGCCGTGGATTATACACCTGCTGAAATTAAAGTCAAAGATATGATTAAAAATAAAAAAAGGATGCTTAAAAAGATGATTTTTATAAGATTACATAATGCATCTTACCTCACTCATTCCACTTGATAAGTCTGGCCCATCTGATGACCACAAACTCCCATCCTATGACAGAACAATTCATATTCAGTCATATTCAGTAGGGTTGCATTGTTGATTCTGATCTCTATACAACCAAAATGCCCGATGGACAATCTTTGATGATGAATTTTTCTGAACAGATTTTTGGGTAAATTTGTTATTAGCCATTTTTTTTTCAAAGCAACTGTTAACAAACACAAAAACATTTTTTATTTGCTCTTTACCCAAAGCCCACAGTTTGCAGGCTAAATAAACACACTGATATGAAGGTCTGGAGGGGAGGTCTGCTCTCTCTCTCTCTCTCTCAAAAGGCGCTCACACTGCCAGCCAGATCAGCATCAGCTGACTCTCATTAAGGGCAGCGTGAGCACCTGAGCCGAGAGGAACGAGAGCTCGCTGCTCCGCCTCCCCGTCACCGCCCCCAGCTTGCAGCTCAGCCGCCCGGGTCGAACGTGAGGTGTAGTGGAGCGGCCTCGCTGCGTAACAGGGGGCAGGGCCCAGGCGGCGGAGCAAATATTATGCTTAATATGGCCAGAAAGATGGACTAACAAGGTGAAAAGGTTATTACTAAAAGTAGTAGTAGTAGTAGCAGTACTACTACTACTAATAATTAAAATTATGACCATAATGAACAAACTGTTTAGATGATATATTAAAAATATGGTTTAGAACTGAGAGCACAATTGCAATTGTGCACAACAAGATTTTTTTCAAAGAAATTCCTAACTTTGAAATATTCAGCAACATAGCTCTTCCAAGCATTAAAGCAGGACTGTGCTAGACTTTTAGTGAAATGCAGAGCACAGCCTTCAAGCTATAAATTACCCATTGCCCCAGGTTTTATTATAAAAAAGAGCATGCTTCTGCTAATACAAGACATGTCCTCCACCTCCCAATTTTTCACAGGAATTCTCTGCAGTCTCAGCAGCTGTGTTGTGATGGGCAAGGTCATTCGCCAGTGGACGCAAACACACACTCACAGTCCTTTGTTTGTTGAAAAAGGGGGTAGGCCAACCTGCTCTTGTCTGAAGCATCCCCCAACACACATTCACACATCACATTGTCCATATTTAAAATGCTAATGGCCTACATAGTTTCTTCATAAAACAATGCACAAATATAGTGTTGCTATAAAAACTCTGAGAAAAGCTTGAATAAAGAACAAATTCACCACTTTAACCACTAGACTATATTAGACTAGACTAGATTTAATTAAAATAGAACTGCATAAAATGAAACTCCTGGGTAAGACCGCAAAATGTCAGTCTAGCCACATAAAATTTCGATGAAAAAAGCTAAAGTGTTTTATATCAACGTATGGCAAATATAGGCAAACGTATCAAACATCACCACTACTTAAAAGCAGAGTGAAGGATGACAGTATACTATATGCAGCAAAATACATCACTCTTTGGGAGCTTTGTTTCAATGTAGACACAAGGCAGATTTTGTTTGTTAAAATCTCCGTATCTGTCAACCAACTTACAACTTTAAATTTTGTGTAAAATACTTTGAAAACAAACATTGTTGATGATTCTTGGAATTCAGTTTCAAAAATATTTCAAAGATAATTTCACACAAAGTTTCCCACTTTAACCACCGAGAGTGTTGGATCAAGTTAATTTAAAGTTTATATTAAAAGCTGATACGTCACTACATAGGACAAGATGGAAGTAAGATATTGAGTGCCCTAATTTTAACCCCACAGCAACAGGAACAACAATTATATTACGTGAACAGTTATATGTCAGTCTGCAGAATCTGACATCACATTTTAAGTCATTTTATCTAGTGCAACAGTCTTTTTCCTTTGGCATGTAATTGTGCTTCTTTCGGGCATTATTTCTAGAAAAAATGCAAAATTATCTGTACTGTGTCTTGAACTAAGCATTAATAGAGTAAAGCAATAGTTAATGTCCCTGCATAATGTCCATTAATGTCCCTGCATAAAATAACTTTTTTAATAATAAACAAATTAAAAAAAAAAAAAAATCTAGAAAATCCTTCATATGTTCTTGCTCATCATGAGAAATATTAGATATATTGACTAGATTTACAATGTTTCCACATGCCAAGATATCATTTTTACAGTGAATTTTGTAGAGAATTTAAGAACAAACACTCGCACACAAAATACAGCCCACAGACTGAGAGAAAAGAATGTAGCGGTGCAGGAAGAAGGAACAGATTATTTCATTCAGACAGACAATGGCAGGGAAGGAAATCCAGGAAAAGACAGATGGGGTGAGAGAGAAAGAGTGAAAGAGAGAGCGAGAGAGTGAGAGAGAGAGAAGAGCTTTCACATGAGGCCAAGTCACAGTCTAGACTGAATTGTTTCAGTCAGTCAGTTTGCATAAGAGAACAAAAAAAAGCATCCGTGACAGCTGAACAGTTTTAGACATGATATTCTTCTAGTGCCAGAGTGCCAAACTGTGTGTGTGAGTATGTGTGGTGGCCTGGGAAAAAATGCTGCGGGGGAAAAAAAGACACAAGGGATGATGCCAACCAAATAATGGTTTGTTGAGTATAAATTGCATTCTTTGTACAAACTGATGATTACTGTTGGTTACATACTTCACAGCAATTTCAGTTATGGCATTCAAATATAGTAGGTGTTAAAGAAAATACAAACTGGAAAACATAAAATAACAGAAAAAATGGAAGCACACATACACTGCCTGGTTTTCAGTAACTAATCAGTTTTTTTCACACATATAAATATTCGTGACAATATCTGTACAGTACTATGTTGGGAATAATGCTATACTCCACATATTTTATATACTTGGGATGTCAGCACTTATCAGCATTTAAAGCTATCAGATATTTAAACATTTAACTTATGTGCTTTTAAAGAGGAATTAAATTTCTGTTTAATTCATTCACTAAAATGTAACAAAGTCATTCAGAGTGGTATGAGGTGAAATGCTGTGCTCTAGAGAAATGTACAGTCAGAACTGCTCACACCGGTGGCAATAGGAACCAGACATCTGAAGCGTTTCATGACTCTAAAAGCTACCTCTCAGAAAACTACTGCATCAAATAGTTCCACAAATGCTGTCTCAATTTTTTTTGCATAAAAGGTATTGTTTTTTCCAATACATTCATGGTGCAAAGGTACATGCAGGGGTTAAGAAGCAAAACAAAACTTTGTTATTCAGATTTATCACTAACTTACCTTTATATACAAAATTAATTATGTTACATATAAACACGTAGAAGACACATGTAGTTTCATTTGGGACAGTATATAAAATGGCTACATTTGCAGGGTGAGAACCAGAAATCTTGGTGTCTTTCACCGTCATTGTAAAGAATTCCAAGTTTCTATACTCCATTTCACATCAAACCACTCTGAATGAGTTTGTTTACACCTCAATGATTGGATCATGCAGACATTTTTGAAAAACCAGTTGAATACTCTATAACAACAATAAAACTGCGAAATTATTATTTAGGCAAAAGCTTACTCTTTATAGCAAGGAAGACAATTCACAGTATTGTGAATTTTGCTAAATATACCCAAAGCAATAGCTGTTTTATCTAAACAAAATTGTTCTATTGAAATAACTATTGAAAGTTAAAAAAAGCCAAGTTTTCCCAAACTTTTGAATGGCAGTGTATACACACAGACAAACATGTGGTTGACTCCTGTAGTGGGCAAGGAGGAGTATTCAGCACTGGGCATTATGCCATTATCACTGTGTTCAGGGGCTTCCCACAGTCATGACAAACTCTTCCTTCTCTGTGTTACTCTGCTGTTATTCCCCTTAAAGCAGCAGGAGAAGGAGGGGCAATAATGAAAGTAGTGACATGGCCTTTACTGACCTCTCCTCTCCATTCAGGTCACTCTCGGTCACAGCTAAGCCAGACAGCAGGAATCAGGAAGACAGAAAGGGAGGCATTTAGCTCGTCACACGCACTCACTCTGTGTATACCCTGTACGTGTGTGTTTTGCACTCTTTCGCCTAATTCTTTTTTTTAATGCTTTGCTTCTTGATTTTTAAACTATCTTTACCTTTTTTAGCCTCAGTAGTTCTCTTCTAATGCATTCAAATAACCACAGACACTAATATGTGCCATAATATAAAGTCATATGCAAAGGTTTGAATATTCCCAGTCAATTTACGTTTTGTTCACTTTCTAATTGAAAATAAGTTAACACATCCTCTACAGAGAATACATTTGAATATGACATTTTTTGCAGATTTTAGTGCATATCTGTTCATTTGCTGAGTTTCACATATTAAAAAAACAAAACAAAACAAAACACATAAAACTAAATTGTGCCATGAGTATTTCACCGGCCATTTTTTTATGTTTTATTTCCCCCCAACATGTAAAATTCAGCAAATAAACAGCAAATGTGCAATAAATGTGCAGTAGTGTGTTCTCTGTAGAGGATGCTTTAACTTACTTTCACAACAAAAATCAACAAAACATATTATTTTCACAACAAAAATCAACAAAACATGTTATTTGTCTCTTGGTGTATGTGTGTGTGGGGGGGATGTTAGCTCTTAAAGAGCATTTTGGAAGTTTCCTCAACCTAAAAATCAAAAGATAATACATGGAATAATAGAGGTTGTCCCCTATTGTTTCATCCTGCATACACACTAAGGTCACAACTTCTTTTCTGGAATATTTACAATGCAATTCTGGGTGCAACTAAAAGATTACAGTTTCACTCTCTAAGAGCATTATTAGACATAAATTAATATTACAGCAAAGTCATCACTGTGTTTCACATGCAGTCACTACAAAACTGCACACTATGGGTCAGAGGTCATGATGTTTTGCCTGAAAATTTCCATGAGAATGACAGAGAGAGAGAGTGATGTTTCTTTTGTTTTTTTATTTTTTTAAAAGGGGAGGGGTTGTGAGATGGGGAGGAACAAGTGTGGGAACTTTAGGGGTGTCTGCTTGGTCAGCTGGTGTCAGATGGTGGGAAAAAAGCTTTTACTTTGGTGTATGCTAATTATTCAGTGAGTGGTAGGTGGGACCACATATGTTACGAATGCTAACATTCTCACAGTACACTTGGCATTGACACAATTAA